GAGGTGTATTGCCTAATATAGTAATATTGGGGTTGTTGTTGTGGGAAATAATTGTTGTGTTGTTGTTTTTTCCCAGGAACTCTGTTTGGATGTTGTTAAAACCTGTTTGGACGAGTTGGTTGTTGTTGTTGTTGTAGTGTGATGACATCATAATAGTTTTTGAAGAGGATAAGCTGGATGCCCACTTTTGGTGTTTGAGTGTGGTCTTGGGAGAAGAGTGTGTCGTCTCTTGGAGTTTGTGTCAGTGTATGTGAAGTCTAGTTTGACTGAAGCAGTCTTTTTGCCCTTTTTGTTTCGATTACTACTGTTGTGTTCACTCATTTGAAGTTGAGGTTGAATAGTAAGGGTAAATAGTACGAAAGGCCCTTAGGCCAGGTGTTTTCTTTGTTGTCGGTTGGGTGGTTCTTGCTGCTCTGTTTTCTCTTGATTTTGATTACTTAGGAGTGTGTACTGGTGGTGTATAGATGTTGTTTTGTCTTCTTGACTATATATTTAGTTACTTATTTACTTGCTTTTAGAATTTTTGTTGTATTGATTTTTTATTTTTTATTAAAATTGGGATCTATGGGAAAGAGTTTTTTTTTAATATTTACTGTTATGGTTATTAACCACTACTCACCTTTATCTTTCTTCTCACCTATTTTTACTTTTTAATACCTTAATTCATACCCTTTTTAATTTGCAATCTAGCAAGTTCCAAACTTACTAGAACCCAAACAAAAATACTCAAAGACTCCTTAAAAATTAACTTCCTAAAGTACTAAAATATATGACATTCTATATGTCTCTATTTATACATACAATTAGACTACAAATTGACTATTAACTATTTATAAGTATGTAGTATAACTATATAAAGTTTAATTAAAGTATGCGTTTTGACTATTAACTTTGCATAGACTATTATAGAGTTACGCTACAAATCATATATATTACATAAGTGAAAGTTTAATTTTGAAACTTTGTTGCATCACAATACTCTACATTTCTTAAGTGCAAAAGAAACAATTTCTTTTTAAAACTTTAAATAGTATATAAATATTTTATACTTATTAAATATAATAAATTTAATAATAGTAATAATTTAAACTTAAATTCTTTTAAAACTGTTCAAATCTGCAATTAATATATAGTGCTATAACAGTATTGATATCTCAAACCTAAATTAAACTTGAAATTCAATCTATCAAGAGTGCAATAATTATTATTTGTTCAAATTACAAATACCTTATTAAAAATATCTAAAAACATATGGAAATCTCTTCACTATCATTATAGGCTTTATCTTCTGTAATTAAAATATTACATTTCTAAAAAAAAATACTAGCTTGAAATATCAGACCATTAATCTATTTCTAGCATATTGAAACTATGTTTATAAAAAACTAACCCAAGTTTTTGTACTATCTAGAGAAAAATTTTGAGAAATAATATGGATTATAAGGATATGTATAAGGATTAAAGCCTGATTGCATAGTTGGCAGCATATTTGATAGTAGTACGTTTGGTTGTATAATTTATTAAGATATAATTTGACCATGAGGCATAATTTGATTATGAAATGCAATTTAATCATGAGATATAATTTGATCATGAATTTTGGGTTTTGCAATATGAATCATTCCAAATATTAGATAGGAAGGCAGCATATCAATTGTTGACAATTTCTAATTTATAATATTACAATAAAATAAGGGAGCTACTATTTCTACTATGGCTTTTTGCTATTTCCACCATGGTATAATAAAAAAATCTATTTTTAGTTAACCAATTAAAATTAAAAAAATAGGGTGTGGCGACTTAGAGTAGTAGTTAAGTTGTCACCCCCAAGCGGCAGGTCTAGAGTTTGAATCCTACTGGAGACGTTTTTAGAAAAATAGGCCTGTGTTCTGGTAACAATTATTCAACAATTGGTTGGGTATATTACCTGTAATCTTGGTACTACCATCTCGAAATGGAAGCTCTTGGGCAATCCAAATCCAAGGAACCAGAATAATTGAACCTGTTTGGCAAGACCCAAGTAAGAAGGTAGTGAAGATCTTTGACGATACTGCGGAAAAGTCGAAAACCGGAGACTGAAGAACCAGACGAAAACTCTAGAGCAAGAAAGGTCCACCAACCTGGCCGCCGGAGTTGCACCAGAGAAAAAGGTCCTATACTACGAAATTAGGAACCAAGGGAAGTAAAACCGGAAGGCACTTAAAGCTGAGGTACAACAACCCAACCGGGCTAACTGGTTTGGTAGTTGGGGAGGGATCGGTATAAGGACCGGCTTGATGTGGGTATCGGAATCAGAACAAACCTTGCAAAGGTACCGGATACTGAAATTGTGAGGTTTAATGGTTTGCTCTGACTGCTAGTGGTGGTTTCGGCTGCTGTGGAAGGTATTTGTAGCCTAATCTAGAAGTGCGTGGGACATAGAAAGATTAGGGGGTATATACTACACCCTCCCTAGGGCAACCCAGTAGTATGAGAACCCTACTGGATTATCTATAGAATTAGGGTATAAGTAGTATAGCAGATGTCAATTTGGGTGGACTTCAATAAGAAGCAGCACGAGGTTATAGATTGGTGTGATTGTGGTGGTGTTGCAGGACCAGGAAGTTAGAGGGTTTAAATAGGTAATCTCCTAGTTAGGTTATAGGTATGGCATATAGTGTAGAACCTTCGGGCGGACTACTTAAATTAGGTGACCAAAAGTTGCACATGTGGCTATATGTACTCTCGCTAACCAAGAATGTACTACTAAAATACCTAATAAAAAATCCACCCTTCCACAACATTGCGAAGGTATAAAAAAAAAAAAAATTAAAAAAATAATTTTTTAAAATTTAAAGAAGTTTTTAATAAGTTAACCTTTTTTGAGCTTCTAATTAAAGTTGTAGAAGAGGTTTTTATAGTTCCAATAGTATTTAGATTATTCAAATCAGCCCAGTAGATCCCAAGATATTTGAGATCAAAGACGTGAAGATAGTGATCTACAAATTGCCAGTTACACAAAGTATTATATAATACTTTATATAACTAGCAATTTGTAGATCACTATCTTCACATCTTTGATCTCAAATATCTTGGGATTTACTGGCCAATTTGGATGATCTAAACATTATTAAAACTATAAAAACCTCCTCCACAACTTTAATTAGAAGTCCAAGAGAGGTTAGCTTATTAAAAACTTCTTTAAATTTTAAAAGATTATTTTTTAATTTTAATTGGTTAATTAAAGAAGTTTTTAATAAGCTAACCTCTCTTGGGCTTTTAATTAAAGTTGTAGAAGAGGTTTTTATGGTTCTAATGGTGTTTAGATCATCCAAATCAGCCTAGTAGATCCCAAGATATTTGGAATCAAAGATGCAAAGATAGTATTATAGTCTATAATACTTTGTGTAACTGGTAATTTGTAGATTACTATCTTCACATCTTTGATCCAAAATATCTTGGGATCTACTGGGCTGATTTGAATGATCTAAACACCATTAGAACTATAAAAACCCTCTTTACAACTTTAATTAGAAGCCTAACTAACCCTAACTTAATAAAAACTTTTTTAATTTTAAAAAAATTATTATTATTTTTATTTTTTTTTATTTTATTTTTTTTTAAAAGCGAGGTCTTGCCTCAGTTTTTATTAATAAAGTTATATGAATACATTTACAAAGAAAGGTGTGACATATACTCTAAAGCTAAAACTAAGACTTGGGCTAGTTTATCTATGACCCAAACTTTATTAAGAGGGGCCAAAGCCTCGCCTAGATTACAATTTGTGCAAGTTTTTTTGGAGATGTGCTATTTTGAATGAATGACTTAGACCATATTTCGACTTTTCTTTTGGATGTTTCTTCGACTTTCGTTTTTTGTTCGCCTGTACTTATAACTGAGTTGCTTGTGATAGTTGGTAGGTTCTGAGATATCAAGGTTGTTGTGTTGTAATTTGCTGCATTTTGGCATCTTGGTATCAAGATGTCTTTGTAGATTGCTTTATTGATTTTATGTAGAATCAGTGTGGTAGGTGTATATTTTCCTTAGGCCGCTTTGAGTAGTTGATTGATTGTAGTTGTTTAGGCTTCTGAAATGATTCCTAGTAGGATATCTGGAGGGTAGTCATTATGTATAGCTGAATTTGTTATTTGGACGAGATTAACTAGTTGGTTCTCTGTTGTTTTGTGGACTTGTGCTTTGGTACAGACTTTCGTGATCACCTGTTGAATAATCTGAGCAACTGTTGTGGTATTTGCTGAGCAGAAAATCCAGTGTGTATTGGTTTCAATTGTGGTTGCACATCTTGAGCAGTTTGAGCTAGGATATTTTTTGGAATTGCATGTATTAAAATTGAGAAGTGTTGGGAGTTCATTTAATAGTAATTTAATTTTGAAGGCCTTGATTTGAGATTGTTTAGGATGAGTAAATCTAGTTGTTGGTTTGTCGTGGAAGTCGATAAAGTTATGCATTGTGTCCTATGATATTAGTGCTCTGTGGGTGTTCCATCTTTCCATTCTGTTTTGTGAGTGCCATCTGGCTATATGTTGTGCATTTTGGATATGTCGAATAAATCGGCGAGGTGTATGTGTGATGCAGGCTTGTTGCCAGTGTGCTGTATATATGTCTTGTCAAATGTGGGTATGTATAATATCTAAGCAAACTGTATTTGTATCAGATTGGGTGTGGATAGAGGTGTGGTCTATAAAAGCCATATTAATAGTGAGATCTTTTTTAGCAACAAGTGCTTTAAATGTAAGCCAGTTAGCCCATAAGTGAGTAGAAAAGATAGGCGTAATGTTGTGAGCTGGAGTGTTGAGAATGTAGTTGGTAAGCTGTATGAACTTTAAGTCATCTGTGTAGATTGTGAGGTTTGAGTTTGCATTTACGATTAGTGTTATGCTAGATAGGGCATCTATTCAGGTTTTGTTCTTAGAGGGCCATGTTGAAGTGGTTTGATGAAGTCTGATGTTTGATTCAGGTATGTGCCAGGTTGTGGTATGTGTTATTTTATCAGCAGTGTTTGTGCTATGGTAAGTAAGTATTATATTAATTGTGCTTCTTTTTGGGATTTGTTGATGTGTTTGCCAAAGAATTTGACCAGCTTCGATAGGATATATTGAGTTGCTAATGTCTTCGTATATTGCTAATTCTTTTCGGTTGGCTATAGGTTTGTTAGGTAGGATCCTTGGTGTAGTAGGATTTTTGGCTTTGATAGAATAATTTTAATTTATAATATCAGTAAAGTTGTATCGAATTCTGTGATTGCAGTCAACTTGTATAGTAATTAACTGGTTGAGCAGTCTAGTGAGGGTGCATTTTTTCTTGTGAAGATTTGGATCATTGATTTTGCAGCCAGGGCAGGACTTTATCGTATGGGTAGTAGGGTTAAGCTCTCAGTGGTGTATTATTGCTTTGTCTTGTACTATTGATGTTATTTTTCTAATTATGCGTTGTGTTGGCTCGAAGATCTATGATTGTTTTTTAACTTCTGTTGTTTGTGATGTATGAGAGTTGGGTTCGATTAAAGTGATACTGTTTGTTTTAATTCTTTCTTTTATGATGTTAGTTACTTTGGCGAACCATTTTGGTTCTCTGCCACGCGAGATCTTTTGTATTATTTGTGGGAGGTAAAACCATGAAGTTGTGTCTGTTTGGATGTTGCCTGTGAATTGTTCTATTGTGTGTAATCCTAGAAGGTTGAGGCTTTTCTTTATTTTGTGTGAACCTGTAAGGTGGTGTAGGACGGTATTAACTGAGTGTCCTGGGTTTGGTAATGGTATTGGCCAATTGTTACTTAGATTGCCTATTGTTAATTGTATTTTTTGTAGACTTTTTAGCATCTGTGCTGAAGGCGAGAGATGTTCTGGTTGGGATATTATGTAGTCATGGTGTTGAAGAATAGATTTTGTGGTTGCTGCTGCATGTTGTAGTTGCTGAAGTCTGATTTTAAAAGTAGATTTGTGAAATCCTGGGTGGTTGAGCTGATAGAGATTAAAAGAGACATGTTGTTGTGTTTGAATATCTTCGATGGTCTTTAGAGCATATATGGTGTTATGGAAAAGAATAGAGTTGGGAATTGATGCAGCGAGGCCTGCTTTGTGTTTTGCTATATTTGTGTACTTGTTTGTTATTATAGAGCAGAGAGCAGGAGACAGTGCAATATTTTGGACTCTGTAGCTGATTCTGGATAGGATTATAGCGTTAATGATATATATTGTTTGTTTGTTGGTAATTTTGACTTTTTTGATTTTTGTTAGTGCATTTGTTGTTTCTGCAATAATGATGTCGTATATTGGTGTTGGCTTTTTTGACATTGAGTACCAGCAGTCTAGGAATCTAAATGTTTGTTTTTGTTTTATACTCTCTATAGCAGAGCCATTAAATGAGATACTAGAAGTGTCTGTGGGGTTTAGAGTAGCTAGTACTGAATTGTTTGGGTTTACTTGTATGTTGATGAAGCTGTAGAAGGTTGTTGTGGTGTTAAAAATTGCTTCCAGTTGTTGTTTGAATGGTGCGATTCATGTCGTGTTGTCTATATAGATCAGGACTGAATGGTTAGCTTCTATTTTATTGATTCTGTTGTTTATTATAACAGTTGTATGCATAGTGTAGCCTGTGTGTTCTCTAGTAATTTTTGTTAGCAGTGAATCGTAATATATGTGCCAAAGCAGAGGCATTATAGTCTCGCCTTGATCGATACCGTTATGTACTAGGTACGGCTTTGTGGTGCCATGGTTAGTTATTACTGTGTTGTGTCTATTAGTGAATATATCTATGATAAGGTTTGTAATAGTTTGTGGTATCTTGATTCTAAGTAGTGCTTTCTTTAGTAGTGGGATATGAACAGAATCGTATGCCTTTGATATATCCTGGGATAAAACCCAGAGTTCTTTTGAATGTATGTTGGCCTCTTCAATGAGGTGTATTAAAGTCATGATTAGTAGTATTGTAGATGTGTTAGATAAAGCGACATGATTGTTAGTATTAAGGATTGGATAACGAGAAAGTGTTCTGTTAAGTCTATTTGTAATTATCTTGATAAATATTTTCCTTGAGTATTCTATCAGTGTAATAGGTCTAGTATGTTCTAAATGTCTAGTAAAGGTTTGTTTTTTTGATATTGGGTATATATGACTGTTTTTCCATAAAACTGGTATTTGTTGTAGCTGTAGATAGACGTTGTATATGTTAAGTAGTATTGCAAGCATAGTGTTGTCTAGGTGCTTTAACATTTCGTTAGAAATGTTTTGTGAACCAGTAGCTTTGTTGGCAGGTGCTTCTTTATAACTATGTTAAGCTCTTCTGTTGAGATTATATCTGAGAGATTCTTGTATCAGGAGGTTTGTATTTTAGATATTGGTTCATATCTTGTTGCCAAGTGTTCCAGAGTAAGATGTTTGTGGAATTAGATTTAGTTCATGCTTTGTAGTGAGTTCGTATGTGATTTCTGATCTGGTGAGATTCTGTAATAATGTCAGTTGGTGTTCATATATTATGGAGGATTACCAGATCTGAATGCCTTTTCAATATACTATCAATCATCTTGGATGTATTCTTGGCAAAATTGTCGTTCCTATTTTGGATGTGCTGATTTATAGTTTGTGTATAAGCAATATTGTTTTCGAGCTTTCTTGTATAATAGATCATTTTTTGTATAGCTTTGAGTTTGCCTATTGTTGTACTAATGTTGTCTGCTGCTAGATCCTTGTCTGTTATTGGATTGAGTGCTATTTCGCTATGTTTATTTATTTGCTGAATCTGCAAGTTAATTTGGTGTATATCCAGATTTATGTTAGTCTTGTTGTTTAGGTTTCTAATTAGTTTGTTAATTGTTTTGAAAGTATAGTGTAGTGTTGTCGCCTTGGTTGAAAAGGTATAGAATGTTTTGGATGAGGTCGTAGTAGTTGGTATATGTTTCGATGCTGCATTTTTTATTGCAATAAAATTCATAACAGTGTTTATTGAGAGTTTTGAGGTCCTTTATTTGTTGGTTTACAATGCCACTTTTGCTGATCTGCTTTGTTGCTGTTTGAGTAAATTCAGTCCATAGGTCTGTTGTCATTTGGTCAAATTGGTATACTATTTGTTTCTCCTTTTATTTCTGGAGCTTTTTATCTTTGGGTTGTATTTCTATTCTATACTAATGATTTTGTGATCACTATTAGTGATAAGGTCTGCTGACAGTAGTGTCGGACAGGTAAAGGCATGTATGAGGCGGGTAGGTAACCATATGTCATCAATTTGGTTTTGTTTGTTTTGTCTAGACCATGTAGGTGAGGTGATGTTAAAATATTCCAAAGAACTGACAAGCCCAGTTGTTTGCATTGTCTAAAAGACAGGAATGCTTTTAGTATGTTTACTGCGGTCATAGTTGAAGTCTCCCAATACTATAGTATGGTAGTTGTTCTTAGTGGCTTGCTCGATCCATTGTGTGACTGTTTGTTGTGTTTCCAGGTTAAGATCTTTGTTGTTGGGTGGTAAATATACTGATATGATACGAGTTTTGTTATGGTTGGAGAAGAAGAAGTTGATTGCAATAGCAGTACCAGGACGTGTAAAAATGTTGTGAATATATGGACGGAGTGGTTTTGTAACAGCTATTGCTGTACCCATGCTTGCTTCCTGGGTTTTTGTAGTCAGAATATCACAGTTTGCGGTATATATATAGTAATAAGGGTTGCTGGTTTGTAAGTTAGTGTATGTAGATGCAGGTAGCTTTGTTTCGGTTATGCTTATTATGTGGAACTGTTGTGTATTGCAGAATTCAAGCCATAGTTGTGTGTTGAGCCTTGTGTTTAGCCCTTGTACGTTGTGTGTAGCAATTGTTATTTTGTTGTATATAGGAGGAGCAGCGTCGTATTCGTGTTCTGTTATATTATTTTCAGTTAATGTATTTGTGGTAGTAGAGTTGGTTTGGGGTGATGTTGCTTGATAAGCAAGTTCAGCATTATTAGATGAAGTTATGTTATTGAGAAAAGATTCACCAGGTAGGTTCTGGGAGAGGTGGGAGTGCTAAAATGGAGTTTGGTATAGTTTTGCTTGTGAAATATTGATGTAATATTTTGAGGGTTTCAGAGGCAGCCTTTTGGTCTGTGATGGGAAGAGTTAGTTGTGTTGTGTCGATATCATTATTTTTTAAGTAATTGAGGATCTCATCTAACTCATTTGGTATTGTTGGTTTTGTCGATAGCGTGTTTGTTAAGTTGGTTTCTTCTATAGTGTTGGTTTGGATTTTTATCCAAGAGTCAGGAATACAATAGAAGTAGTAGGACTCTCTCAGTAATTTGGCTACCTCAGTTAGGGTTTTTGTTGAAGTGATAAGTGTTAAAATACTGTAGTCTGTAATTTGCTCTGGGTCTTCAGGAAGTTTAGGCTTTTCAGTGGGATCAGCTGTTATTATTTCAGGAGATAGTGGCAGGTTGACTTTGTAGTTCTGGCCTATATCCAGAATAAACTCTATAGCGGCCTGCTT